AATTTGTGTTATATTTTCTCTCTGGTTTTCTTTGTTAGCATGCCACAGACCGATTTCAATAGCCTCTAGTCAATCACGAACAATTTGCTTAATGGATGCTACAGTTTCAATGACTTATCTCTTACATAATTGTAAAAATACAGTAGGAACTGTGCTCGAGCGCACTACAGAAATTTTAAGAGACAACCACATCAGTGAAGATTCATTTCAAATTCAATTTGTCGCCTATAGAAACTATAATAGTGCACAAGATAAGATTTTTCAATTTTTTCCTTGGGAAACAAGAGCAGATAATTTACGAGCTTTCATGAATACAATTAACGTTAAAGGAGGATGGGGTAATGAGGCTGTTGAAATCGGTCTGTGGCATGCTAACAAAGAAAACCAGAGAGAAAATATAACACAAATTGTTCTGATCGGTGATGCACCTCCAAATACAAAAGCTGAAGTAGAACAAAAGAGAAGTAATGGTTTCGGAGAGGCATATTGGCAGAATCCTAAATTTACACAAGACACTTATTATGACGATGAGTTAGCGAAGCTAATATCGAATAAGATTCCAGTTCATGCTTTTTTTGTCAACAAACGCGCAAAAGCCATTTTTAAAGAGATTGCTGAGAAATTCAGAGGAAGATGTGAACCGCTAGACATAAATTCTCCTTTAGGTACGAATATGTTGACAGATTTAGTAACAGAGGTTGTTCTAAAAAATGTCAGCGAAGAATCAAAAGGAAACGCTGTTGTTGATGCATAGAGAAAGAAATTTGGAAAGTCTTATGCCTAAATCAATTCTTTGTCAATATCAAAATCTGATCTTCTCCGAACGATGACGCATCGATATAAGTTATCACTCCAGAGAACTCTATTGGTTTAATTACATTTAGTATAAGAATCCCATAATACGTTCAGGGTAAGGTGTGGGTGTAATTGTCGAGTGTGAGATGATTCACATCTCACACCCACACCCCTATTCACATATGTCTTCAATGTGTGTGTAGCCTTTTTTTATTATTTTCATCGATTCTATTCAATTCACAAACGCAAGACAAAATCAATATTTACATCATACAGTGATCAGGAGAAGTAAATATTTTAACTTCATTGACAAGTTGTTCTAGTTTTGAGATGGTATCACTATTCGCATAAGCTACATTCGAATAAAATTTTCAGTATAGCGACTTGGAAGTCGCATCTATATTAAGGCCGTGTGAGAAAAAAGGTTAGTGATGTGTATGACTCAGTTTCTTCCATTCATTCTGTGTCGGGAATTGCTTTGTGTTTAGTAAAGTATAGTCTGCAAAAAAAATTTTTTTTTTGTTTTCTTTTTCTTTTTTTTCGTTTATTGCCACTTCAAATCCAAATGTCTTTTTTATCATCGTCACATAAAAGAATTTATTTTAACAATTTTTCGAGCAAGAAGAAATGTACGAAACTGACTCTATTTATGTAGTAGAATTGCATTTGAAACTAAAGTTGAAAAGCGAAGTTTTGAAGAATTTCAAATTATTCCTTTTGACAGTACCAGAACGGTCAACATGGATGTTAAACTCATATTACAACAATATTTTAGCGAATAACAACTTATTTTAATTCAAAAAATAATTTCTACCAAATTATCAACTCTCTTAAGTTTCTAGTTTACAATCTTTCTCTGCACTAACTTCTAATCATTCTTATCATCTTAAAAAAAATCGATGATTTTCTTTTCTTTGCAAATGTTCAAAATCCTCCTTTCAATTTCCACGAAACAACAGCAGATTATTTCTATTAAAAAAAGATTTACATGCCTTCGCTGTTTCTTCTATTAACAAAGCCTCAGTATAAATCTGATGTTTTTCTTTTCAAAAATGATCAATCATGTTTAAATGTTCTAAGTCATTAAATAAAATAAATACCAATAATGAGATTGATCAATACTTTTTGGATGATGGCCTCTGGTATAAACTGAACAGTTTTATTTCAAATATGCATGTTTTTAGCTCACTTTTTTAAAGTGTTGTGTAAATGTCTTTATTTTTTTTAATACGAATTTTAATCATGATTGACAAATAAAACATCACCGATATTAAACGTCTGAAAAAATGACTGCTACTGATTTGTTTCAATTATTTGATCAACTTCATCTAATATAAATGTTATTTCAGTATGTTCAATAATTGAATCAATATCATTAACATATAATCGCAGAGATTGAGCATGAACTGCGAAAACAGTCATAGAAGCAAGCCAAAGAGTTATATTAAGAAATCGTTTCACAGCATCGTTGTAACTATATTTGTAGAGAAGATATTTCCATGTTACTTCTGCATACTTATTTTGAATCTCTAAAATATCAATAGGATTTGTTAAGTTGTTCGAGGTATTTGAATTATAACAACAAGTATTTTCAGAGAAAGCGAACAATGAAATTGCCAGTTTAACCAATACAATATCTGGATCAACAAATCTTTTTGCCCAAGCATGAATATCTATTGCAGATTTTCCAAACTTTACGGTTATAGCGTTCAAGAAAGCATGGAGAAGATTTAAATGATAATGTTGCACAATGAATGCAGCACCCATGCAGCACACATTGTCAGCAGCACTACGAAGTATTATATAACGATTATTAGATGATAATTTACGAAGATCGTCATTGGAACAAAGATATGTCTCTGCTATTTTGTAAATAGATACTGAGAATTCATCTACAAGCGCTTGATAAATCATATTATTATATTGTGCAACATCGTGTGTATCTATCAAACGTTGACTGAACGGTAAAATCTGAGATTCTTTATAACAATTGAATAAATTTGTGAGAAGTGTCCATTGATCAGTAGTTAATAATGATTGATCTGATGGGAAAAGATTTAATGTTGAAAGCTAATAAATAGATAACAAAAAATAGCTTATATTTGTAAAATAATTATTCGTAACAATATTATCACCTACTCTTTAATCAGATATTGAGCTTTATAATAAGAGAAGAGTATTTTGAAAATTCTTCATCGATATAAAAATCAAAATCTGAGATAACTAATTAAATTGATAAGATTTGAAATAGTTTAGTCGAATGACAATTGTATATAATAAACAAATATTAGAAGCTATTATTTCAATATCGTAAGATCTTCCTTAAGAGACCCCTTACAATAGATTTTTCACTTAGGATGATTCATTTGGGTTGAGATTTTCCGAAATGAGTGGTTCTAGTGAGAAACGCTGCTGGTAAAAATTTCAGTTCGAAATGTTAAACATGAATGAACTTATGGCTTATTTATAGTCAATTTATGACCTTGAGGAGAATCTTTATAACATTTTTTATGATCATTTTAGTACATACGGTGTTAAAATGAGTAAAAAACCTATGTCATTTCACAACACTAAATCTTGCTTTTCTCAACACACACATACATCAACTATGGAAAATCTGGTCGGATAAAAGTTTTCTCTCATTTAAACCTTTAAAACAAAAAAAAAGATATTAGTTATATCTAAAACCGGGTAGGAGAAGTTTCAATTGTTTTGATTGAAAACCATGTTCTGAGAAAAATGGTAAATAAGTTTAGACATGGATTTTTTCATTCAAATCCAAAAGAAAGAAAAACCTACTAAAATGGCATATTCATAATATATATTTAAATGTAATGTTTAAAATTACGTCACAGATAACATAAGATAGCACTATCTGTCGTGCTTAAATTATAGAAGAATGTTTATTCAATGCTGATGCAAGCAATGAGGTAGTCTTCCCAAAACTAAAAAACTTTAAAAAAAACACGACAATTTCTCTGCAAAAAAAGTTAGTAAGGTCGAAATTTCTTCCAGAAATCTCTTAAAATTTAACTTTTTTTTCGAAAAATCATATATCTATTCAGAGAGAGGAAACTTCATTGCATCTTCCTATTCCTATAGTAAAAACTTAACGTCGATTTTGTTTCGAAGAAATGAATTTTCTGAGGGAAGAGGACCTTAATGATCAGATTAACATTGAAGAAATGAAAATAGATTTTCCTTCAGTAATTTTATTTCTGTCAATGTCATTTAATAATCTTACCCTCTTTGGTTGACATTGTACTTGTTTTTTAACTAAAGCGTTTGTTTTTGGTTTATTGTATCTTGATAATTCAAGTTTGTCAGCAATCATTCCACATTGAAAACATTTAGCAAGTCGACATGCTGGACAAACATGACGAGTATTTATATTAATTTCACATAGACCATCAAAATCACATACTAATGTTGCCTAAATGAATTAGCATAAGAATTAAATGAGAAGAGAAGATCAATCTGACCATTCCAGCATTAGCATTTCGTTTAAAGAACATTTTACATGCATAACATGAAATAACACCTAAATAAGAATTTTCAGAAGGAACGTTGCATATTTGACATTCATGTGAAAGTATTTTGGATGTTTTAATTTTGATCGACATAGATGGGTTTACTGTATTATTCAACGCCAGTCTTCTAAATAAAATTAATCTTACATAAAAATCAACTTATAGACAGAATGAGTAAAGAAAAAAACAAGTATGCGTCTATATATATAGAAAAGGTTATTCGGGTTCTATGACGATGTTTTTTCTTCTGTGCAGAACGAAAAATGTTCTCACGACTGTAACCACCTTAACGTATGCACTATTACTGTGACCCTAACCACAGTAATGTCTGCATTACTTGTCCTAATACGTTCTTCTTCGCAAAAAGAAAAAAAACAACAGTCTGCCTTTTGTTTTATTGCGTTTTAGATTATTGTTTGTTTCTTGTTTCATCTGTCTCGAGGTTCGTTGAAGATAGTTGTAAAATAAGTATAAAACTACCATTAGCATAATTATTTTTATCAAGAGTCAAGAGTAATCAATTTAAATTTACGAAAATTTAATAAATCCAAAAAAAATTCTAAGAAATAAAAATTTGTTTTAAACGTAAATTATAAAAGTTAAATTTATTTAAATTTTAATTGGATTTACATAAATTTTAATTTTTTTAAAATTATTCAAATTTATTCAAGTCCAGTTTGAATCAATACAAATTTAATTTAAACCAAATAAAATTTAACTGAAATTCATTTAGTTGAATTTAAATCCATTTACATTAATTCATAGGAAATTTAAATCCAAATAAATGGGTTTCAATTGAATTTGATTTAAGCCCCCCCCCCCCCGCAGAACCCCACCTCTTCGGCCCATAAACCATATTGGCACCAAAGACCTGCANATATTTAGAAAGAGCATTTCATGTTCATCCCGGCGAACTACTTTTGATTCTCTCTAGTGAGTTATACGTGGTCGAAAATTGATTAAACATGTAGTGCAAAGACTTTTGCAACAAGGGTAAAAAAACGTTTCTGAAAAATGATTAATAAAATTCTCATATTTACACCTCTCTTATTTCTTAAGCTGTAACCTTTATTTTTTCACAATAAGTATACCTTCGAATACTCTTTAAAATGACTGTTTACTTGTTGAAATTACTTAAGTGACTGCAGAGATATATCGATTACAAAAGTTCTGAGAACTTTTTTCCTCTCCTTAGAAATATTTTACAGAAAACGCCGGACAAAGACAGATGAATGGATTATACGCATTTATATAACTGTAAACGAAAATAAGGGATAGACTGTTTCGTTACTACTGCAGTATTTATTTTATAAGTGATCAACCTTAAGAAATTGGAGGAGTAGTACTACCGGTATCCTCGGTGTACAATGTTCATTACACTACTTCATCACTCCAGTTCTGTCTCTTTCACATGGAACACGAGCTTTTATACGAGAGAGGAAGCAAAAAGAAGAGAGAAGTGAGAATAGAAGAAAGGATAAATAGAGGACAGAGTGAGTGGACAGCTACTATCTGTCATGAGGTCAGAGCGCCTAATCATACAGTGATTGAGTGCTCTCATATCAATTAATCGATAGAAGATGCACATGGGGTGTGACCTTATTATCGACACAATGACGTTTGTTTTCTGAGAAAGCATTAAAATGTGATTTTGATGGTCATTGTGAAATATATATAAATAATCGTTATGTAGTGCACTCATGTTCAACTTGTCAAATGTTTTTTTTTCACGTGGAATGCAAACTGAAATGATTCGACCCTCTCGAACGAAAAAAAAGGAAAAGAAATAAAGGGTCTACTACAAACCACATCAAAAATTTTAGTCAAATTAAATGAACCTGAACAAAAGAGACTATTTGATTATCATATTTAAGTAAATAATAAATGTTAGTACGAGTGAAGCTTTAAACAATAGCTTAATTCTTTTCTTTAACTCTTTACAATCTTTTACGAAACAAAAGCTTACTATTACTTATAAATACAAGTAACGCATATCCTTCAGATTCGCTGATCCTTTTCTGAAAGAATGGCACTTTATTTTGAATGAAAAACTACTCATCATGATCTCGTAAGATTTTGGTCCTGAAATATTTAGGAGCTGAAAAAAACATAAATTTCTCTTAACTTGATTCGATGAACAGTATTTTTCACAAACAAAAGACAAGTTGTTGGAAAATTCATATTTATTTTCTTCATTTTGATCTGCCCAGGAGGATCATTCCGGTCGTCTGAAAGGCCATCGGAAACGGCCTGAAACGGCTATTAAACGACATAAAACGGCATTAATTTTCGCCCTATTTCGCCGTAATCCGTCAGCTCGTTTTACGGGCCGTTTTTTTTTTGCTAGAAAACGGCCATCGCTTTTAATACTATTCTCTTCGTTTTCCGAGCTGACGGAAAATGGCGCCGTTTTTTAACGTTTTACTTCGTTTTTATGCCGTTTCAGACCGTTTACAGGCCGTTTTTTTCCATCTGGGTGGAACTCGCTTGAGATGGATCTCAGAATTTCATTTTGTAAACAGCACTTGCACAGAAAAGTAATTTTCGTAGTCTGTAATACCAACAATGATAATATACCTTTTGAAAAACACAATTATACACAGAATTACATCAATAATTTATCTGCACAGTTTTTCTATTTTCATTAGAGTATGTGAATCTGTACTTAGAATTTTTTAGCATGACACAAACTTTGATTACAGCAATTATGCCAGACCCATTGACATACTATAATAGTAAAGATTAGAGATGGGTTCAACAGTAGAAAAAATAATCAATGTGAAAATTTAAAAAAATGCAATCTATGATAATGTTCCAGGTCTACTTCTCGATGTTTCAAGTAGAACTTGACATGCTTTATCGAATGTTATTATGAGATTTCCGATATGTGGTATCCTATTTTGAAAGGTTACAATATACTAATGTGCGCGCGAGACTTTAAGGTACTCTGTTAAAAATTGAATAAGTCGAGAATGCAAGCAGCTAGTGATCTGTGGTTTTCAGCAATCGAAAGAAAACGCATGGGAACACCTTTTTAGCTGTTATTCCGATGAAATTTTGATAACAAGAAAATTTCCTTGAAAATCAACAAAATTCCATATTACTGAACTATAGATCTCAAGTTCCTCTATCTACGAGGGATGTCAAAATCAAAATTTCATCGAAATCGCAGACGATTTTTATATATTTTTGGAATGTTTTGCGAAAATCATTGGTTTTGAAACGATTTTGTTCTATATACTATTGGAGAAAAAGACGTTCCCCATGTCTTCTCTTTCGATTGCTGAAAAGTGCAGATTGCCAGCTGCTTGCATTCTCGACTTATTCAACTTTTTACCGAGTATTTTTAAGTCTCGTCCCGACATTAGTTGAGTCATTTTGGCGACGATTCGTCTAAGACTGTGTTCGAGTAGAAATCGACCAGCTATATCGAATGGCATCATTAGAGTTTCCATAGTTCAAGTAGTTTCTGCAAAAATTTGTATATGAAGGTATTTTGGTATAGAGACCAATTTTGTTTCCTTATGTCTATGAAAGATTGATTCTGAAACTCGTTCTAGAAAATATTTACTCATTGCATAGGATCAAGGAAATTCTCGTAAAAGTACTTTTTAGACAATTTATAAATGACGACCTATACAAGAGCTATTAAATATCGATTTGTGCTACAAAGTTAGGCACCATTGATGTATTATGCAGTATTTTATTGATAGGTAAGCTCTGTATGTGTATCAAAATATTAACTCGCATTAGATTTTTCAAATGTGATGGAAGAATTTTTGCAGAAACTACTTGAACTATGGAAACGCTAATGATGCCATTCGATAGCAAATCTTTCTTTATTTTTTTCTAAGCAGTTATTTCATTATATATAGTACATTTAATCTAATCAAAATTTTAATAACAGTTGTTTATAGTTTGCCATTACAGAGAATAAGAAAGTGAACAAAAAATTAATTTTTCAAAACATATAGAACTGCTTTAGTATAATAAAAGGAAAGTGAACTTCTGTACCGCTGTCAAGATCATTTTTTTGCCTAAGTCACTAATTCCTAATAGGAGAGTTTTACTTCAAAACATAATCGATTATTGATCTTGGTGCATGAAATTATCATTTAATCACAAACTGTAAACAACTGTTATTAAAATTTTGATTAGATTAAATGTACTATATCTAATGAAATAACCGCTTAGAAAAAAATAAANTTTGTTCTCGGAATTTTGGCGTGCTGTAACTCTAGTATGAGTACTTTGGCTGCCAATCGAGCTATGGTACGATCATTGTTCATATTAGGCACACGACCAATATTCGTTTCGCACAATCGAACTTGCTATGTATACGATTCCACCGTAGAGTTGGGATCAAAAGTTGATATTTGATCATTAGCCAGTGCATAAACAATCAAGCGATCATTAGCATAGACCGGTAGTAATTTTGTCGGAGCATGCATCTCCGTTGTATTTATATTCCATTTTACTTGGATATCGGTTATACAAGATTGTAGAGCTTTTTGTAATTGCTCACCAACGTATATATCGACATTTTCATTAGGAGGAATAAAAACAAAACGACCATTAGTTGTACGTACAAGACCTTTAACCAGCGAATGACTAGGTGAATGACCCAAGTCGAATGAAAAAATTCGCGTGAAATTCAATATTGAACGACAAAGATCGAGTACTTCATTAACATTCGATATTTCTCCATCAGTCAAAAGAAAGATTTGTCGAGTATGACCTTGTTTTAGTCGATTTTTATCCAACCATTGAAGAGGTTTTAACTTCAAACGAACAAAAAAAAATAAATAATTATTTCAGATTAAAAGAACACAGAGTTCAACTCCCCAATTCCGTACCACCCAAATCAGCTTGCATCTTTTTTGTGAATTCTTCAGCTTTTCGAACATTTTCTTCATTATACACAGTTGTGATATCTGAAAAAAGTGGCCGATAATTGTCTCCAAATCAAATAATACTAAAATGACAATTAACCGGAAGCCTTTTGAGAAAAAGTTGTAACGCTTGACGTGCCAAACCGATCTTATTTTCATGTCGCATCGGCCCACTGCAATCGATAACAAAAATGAATTCATCTGGTAAGGCAGTGTTGCTTGTTGCACGTCGACAATCTTCATCTGTTGGTGTCAATGAAGCCATAACAGCTCCAGTTTCAACGGCAAGTATGATATTCGATCGGTTTTCAATTAAATCAATATCAAGAAGAATATCTCGATCTAAATGAGCATTTTCTTGAGCAAATTCAATGACATACCTTTCAAGTTGACTGAGATCAACTTGAATCGAATGAGACGATGAGCTAACTCGTGCAATTCCAACTTTCTCCATTTGACAACGAAATTGAATTGTGTACCGAGTTGATTGAACGTATTTGGATGTGGTTTCAGCCGGTGAACTGATGCTACCTTTGATTCAATCATAACGAGGAACAGTGGTAGTCGGAACAACAAAGCGAACTTTGCGACCATTTTCTACGAGATCTAGCTCAGAGAAGTACGAGATTGAAATATGACATTCTTTGCCCGGTGGTAATACACCCACATTAATAATAAAATTGTCGTGCGATTTTTCATTTTGTTCGAGTAAATAGGCGCCATGACCTTGTTGAAGAGCATCGTTATATTCTTGTTGTGCTTCTTTTTTCTCTTTCAATTCAGCTACAATTTCTCGATCATCAACCTGAGCAATAAATGCATAGACAGTTGCTTGCTCTTCGATTGGTTGCATCTTATCGTTGCGAAAAACTTGTTTGATAGTCACATCGGCAGCAAAAGATCGTATAGTTGCTTCGACATTCACTTGTTTGAGTAGTAAGTACGTATTGTTTTTGTTCTTGTGGCGACTTTGGATTTAGCCCATAGGTAACAAGCCCTGAACGACACTGATTACGAAGCATGTTGAGATGAGAAATGTTAGCATTTCAGCGATGACTATTTATATTGACATAGAAAGAGTTGTTAGCAAGTTAGCAAGAGTCTATATTAATCAAGCAAAACAGTAAAAAATACGTGAATCATAGACGAAGAAATGAGCCATAGAAACAGAAGAAGCACGATAAAAGACTCGTAACCATTGATACAGTTCTGTGTCATCAAGAAAAGAAAAAGAGAATCATTTGAGAAGCATTACTTAGTATCGTAAAAAGATTTCTTGATGATTAAGATAATTTCATAATCATATGCAAGTTTCAAAGATGACACATAACAAAAACAGCTTTGTTTACGAACGAATTCATATTAGTTTGAAATTAGGTATGACTAATTTAGACAATCATGACTTTTAAAGAAATCAAAGTTAAGAATATAACATATATGAAGCAACATTATCATTTAAAAATAATAATTTTGATCATATTCTGTTGCAGAATGTATGACATAATCGATAGTAGTTTAAATTACCCATCTAATATGCTTTATTCGGAAGACAGCTCTCTTCTCTTAGTATAATAATTCGCTTCTAGCATTGATGCAAAAGAATTTGTTATGTCCTCAAACAAGAATATTTTTCATAAGTTGGATTGGTTGAACATTAATGTTCATTATTTTTGCTGAATGATTGACCGAATATGTTTTCTAATCATGAAGTCCGTTAGTTGAAGATTCTTTGCAATTTGAAGGATCTTTTCTTTTTAAATTTGAATAAACAAATGGTCATAAAGTAAAGAAATATATTGAAAAAGTCTTTTTTTTAATAGCGCACATCATGCTTTCGTTACATAGTATAGAACTTTAGAAGACTGTCAAATACTTTTCAAACTGTTAGAACGTTGTGAAAAAGTTCAAAGGTTTTTAAATTCAAGAATGTCCTATATGATACAATTTTATCTGTATTCAATGGAAAAACAAAGTCATCAAGATTCTGATGCTAGAAATAATGGAAACCATCAGATAATTGAGAATTTATTTTTATGAAGCTCATGAACGCTTTCTGCTAGATCATATCTAAATGGCTGGCTCATTTGACTTCAAATATTTCTGGACTAAGGCACAACTATTTTGACTAAATGATAAAAAACCAACATATGTGTATATGCGATAATTTGGTAACTTATTCGAGAGAGTACTCTAGAACCAAACTAAGATAATTGAGTTTGTTCTATAATTTCTCAGTATTCATAAAAAACGAATAGTCCACATTTCATTCTTCCATAAATAAAGTTCGTTCAATGTTGATGACATTCACTGCAAATGCAAATGAATCTTTTGCAGGAAAATATGAGTCAAATATTTCGTATGAATATGCTAACTTTGAGATGTAACCATTTTCAGGATACGATTTCGTATAAAAATCCATGGTTTACATAAAATTAATATAAACTGTGTTTCTACGAAGCAAGTATAATTATATAGTGATACTATGTTGCATTGATGTACAAGAAAATGAAAGTATTTATACATATTTAATGTAATTTTTCACTTCATCGGATCTCAATGAATCGAATTAGGATATGAATCATTTGGGTTTCAGTGGCACTTCACTGTAGCTGCCACTGAAGTCAAAATGAATATTAAGATTTCATGAAATTACTATTGAATAGACAGATTTCAGTAGAATTTTGTTAATGGTGCAATTCGTTCGTTTTTAAAAATCCATTTGCTGACTCCAATTGATGATGCCTCTTTTCGAATCAACAATACCTAGAAAATTTCAATAATTCATGATTCTGTTTATTCGAGGCTACTACTAGTAAACTGACACAATGATTTTCCATCCATAAAACAATATATCAGAGGATTGTCGACAATCTTAAGAAAACATACAGCTTCAACAAATATTTTATATTTATACACTCAAATAAAGCAATGAAGGACATCTAGAAATCTACTTTTTCAATTTCAAAACGTGCTCAAATAGAAATTCATTTGTCAAAATGTCAAAAAACAACAGAAATACTCTTATCAAGTTCGCATTCCATTTTTAAATTATCAAGTATCTGACATATGTTCTTTTTGCTTCAAACGATCCAGCAAGACACCTACTCTAAGAAAAATGAGTTCCAGATAAAGAATCATGCGACAAATGTCATGAGATGATAATGGAACTCTATTCTTGCATATAGATATCGAGAATGACACTATAATACTGTTTAATTAATTATGCCATATGAACATGAGAAAGGTAGTGCACAAAAAGCTACGCTTGGATGAATTCTGTGCTGAATATGTCATGAAGAATAATTCTTGACGTGCGCATCCACTGAATACTAGTAAATGATAGATGTTTTGCGTTTTACTTTCTAGTGAATAAAAATTAGTCAAAGGACCATATAAACTATCAAAAGATAGCAAAAGAAACATTATCATATTTGTAATTGGTGTAAAAAAAGCACGGTTCTCGTTCAGTATGGATGAATCTATTCTATCCACATCTCAAACGATCATATGCGTTGCTCGAAAATTTATATTGTATACTAGTTATATCTGTCTCATTGGTGGATGCATAGGCAATACATTCAATATTATCATCTTCGCATTTTTGAAAGTATTTCGTGGCAATCAGTCTGCTTTCTACGTGATCGCAGAATCCGTTATGGACTGTGGTGTACTATTGAATATCTTCATAGGACGTATCCTTTTGTATGGATTCGGTATTGATCTGACGACTCAATCGTCTATCTTGTGTAAAATTCGGTCAGTACTACTTCAAACATGTATATTGGCTTCTCTGACGACAATCTGTTTCGGAGCCATCGACCAATATCTATCGACCAGTCATAGATTTTCGTTTCGTCAAAAGAGTACACTAAAATTAGCTCAACGTCTCACACTTATCAATATCGTAGTTTGGCTTCTACACGGCATTCCATTCGCAATTTTCTACGAAATACTCCCTTCGATGGGCTGTGATATTTCAAGCAAAGCATTTCAAATATACTTTTCCGTCGTTTATCTATCGTTTCTTAACGGTATATTGCCACTACTAGTCTCCTCAATATTCAGTGCGCTTGCTTATCGAAATGTGCGTCATATTGTACGACGTCAAGTGCCAATTGTTCGACGACGGCTCGATCGACAAATGACAGTCATCGTTCTTACTCGTGTTGCATTTCTCGTTTCAGTATCCATTCCTTACGGTATTTATCTACTCTATTCAATGAATGTGCCACCAACCACAGGAAACATGCTTTTGTCAGCCATCGATCGACTCTGCTCGGCTATCACCAGTTTCTTGTTCTATCTGAATTATGCTGTAAGTACCTATCTTATCGACATTATACTAATCCAGTGATCGATTGATTTCAGGGACCATTTTATTTGTTTCTATTGACATCGCGACGATTTCGTGGTCAGGTTAGACGTACTTTGGTGAGAATGTTTTGGCAAAATCATTGTTGGAACAAACGTAACAATTTGATGGCACACGGTAATCAAGTCAGTCCACTATCCATTGTCTCCGAACAAGACTGAATCGAATATACAAGAGAAAAATGTTTTCCTCTATTTTAAGATAAATGAAAAGAAGTCTATTGCATAAAAGTACAGCCTGTCCTTGTTTTCAAAAAAAGAAGTTAAATTCTAGGTTTGACGATTACTTTGACAAGAGATTACTGTCATAGAATTTAAATATTTCAGTTACTCTGACTAGATCGTCGAAAAATAAATATAGACACATAATAAATGTTTTGATGGTTCGAAACACCGCTGCATAATCGTTCTATCTATTCTTCATGATTAACATGCTACTGGCGTGCAAATGGAAATAGACAGCTGTGTGAAATAAAAAAAATTAATTACATTATCCACATCGTTTCAGACATTGACATCTCTTTTCATCCATTTATCTTTTCTTTGCTTCATAAAAAATTATCATTCATCAACATAATTTCCGTTACTCATTTTATATATCGTTACATCATCCTGTACAGCATCAAATTTTAAATGAAAAAATGACAAGCTGTGTTATATCTCTAAATATATTTTTCCCATTCGAGAAAAAGTTTTAAAAAAAAGGTATCATTGCACAATCACTGAACTAATACAAATGCGATAAAATCATTGCAGTCTATATAACCAACAAAAATAATGCATGTCCAATCTGCAACTCTACTTCTTTTCCTGTTCTTGGGCAGTCCTACTTCGAATGTAGTCTCTGCTACATGTATATTGTGTGAAACGTGCATAATAAACAAAGATATATTTTGTGTTCAAGTAATGTATCTGCATAGGCAATGAGCCCTAATTGATCCGTACTCAATGGCACTGAAAAATTGATTGCTTGCCTATGACAGACAGACAGCGACATCTAAGAACAAGTTTTCGAACATTTTTAAAATCTATTTGTATCTAATATAGTCGATGCTGAATTATACGATGAATTCGGTTTTAGTAAAACAGTAAATCATTTCTGTATCGGTTTCAGATCACCTATAAACCATGTGTAGTTTCACCGTATGTTTGACACTTTATATATAACATCTTCCAAATGGATTTTAACTTAGCTTACTGTGTCGAGCATAGTTGATTTCATAATCTTGCTATCAAAAGAACTGCTATTAATTGCTGTCAGAGAAAGATTACATGATGATAGAAGTCCAAGAAAAAATTGAAAAGATGANGAAAGTGAAATGAATTTCTTTCTCATTGATAAGATTTGTTTGAATATGGCAGGAAGTGAAACTCAAAAGTCCTGATTACAAAGATGTACCACAAAAAGAGGCTGTCGAAGATTTCCTTTCTCGTATTGAACTCTATGCAAAACAGTATGAACCGATTGATGATAAGATAGCAGAAAAGCATTATTCATTTATCAAAATTTTTAATTGTGGTGAACGATTTCTTGTTCATAAGCTTGGTGGTAAGTGTAACATGTTAATAAACTGACATTTCATCTTTGTTTTATACATTCTAGGGAATATTCAAAGTCGTGTCGTTTATTTTCTCATGAATATTCATGTTCTTTCGAGAACTATTTATCTCACTAGGGTCAGTTAATAGGTCTTCTAACTTGATGAAAAATGATTGATTCCAATATTATTCAGCCTGGTGAATCGGAAATGAATGTTGAACAGCGTATTGGAGGAGATTCGCCATTATCAGCAGCTGGCAAAGCGGTATTGATTGTTATTATTTTTTCATATTTGCCATTGTTTGAATATATTTTATTGTAGTATACCGAAGCTCTAGGTCAATACATTGCGAAGGGTGAGACTTTCTAGAGTATTGTTTTTGTATTGTGTCTTTTGTAAACAAAATAGAAAACATCACGGATTTGATTGTTTGGACAAGTGAAAGACAACAATCGATCAATACAGCAGCAAAGATCAATGCTCCTAAGGAGCAATTGAAAGCTCTCAATGGAATCAATGCCGTAAAAAAATTTAGTCCAGAACAATGATAAGAAACGCGTTTTTATATTTATTTAGGGTATTTTTGAAGGGTTGACCTATCGAGAAATAGCGGAACGTTATCCTGAAGAATTTGCTGCTCGTGATCAATCCAAATACTACTATCGATATCCGGGTGGAGAAGTAAGTTATTATTTTTCTGGTTTTATAAGAATGCATGAGATTTTGATCGTAATCTTGGTATAAATTTGATTTTATAGCTTTAAAGTAGATTATCGAAAAATATTATCTATACATATCTTATGAGCTGATTGAAATACGTGTTGCATTTCGTATCATTAGTTTTCACTCTCAGTTCAAAATTGAAAATGAACTCATATATCATATGAAACTAATTTGTAAATAAGAAAATCCTATCAGAGAAAACTAAAGTGTAAAATTTATTATTAAGATGATTCGTCGGTTTAGTTACAATTAAAAGAAGTGAGTAGTCGTTGTCCGAGAAGAGTCGAAATAGACCAGCTAACTTTTGTTTGTTACAAAATACATTAAACAACTACGTTCAGATAACATTAATTTGAATATTGATTTATTTAGAATAACTTTTCAACTAGAATATTCTCATTTGTCATATAGTCTTATCATGATCTTGTTGCTCGACTCGAACCAGTGATCATGGAATTGGAAAGAGCAGAGAATTTACTTGTCATCTCTCATCAAGCTGTAGCTCGTTGCATTCTTGCTTATTTTCTCGATAAAGATCCTGGTACGTAGAAAGATTTATGTTCTAGTGGACATCATCACACAAGATGTGATCTATATATTGCAATATAGAACGTCTACCCTATATCAGAGTGCCATTACATACAGTGATTAAATTAACACCGATGGCTTATGGATGTATGATGGAATATATACCACTGTCAGTTGAAGCTGTGAACACACACCGTAGCAAACCAGAGGTAAGCAGGCATTTAATTATTATAAACAGTACTTTACTATTGTTTCTTTTTCGTTTTTGTTTCTATCTAGAATTGTGACCCCAATCGACCGGTTGCGGTGGCACTTAATGAATTTCACGAAGCACGTTTAGAAACCAAACCGGGTCCAACGACATGCCAGATCATTTATCAGAATGCTGGTACAGCGATTGAAACGACTGATGTTCATGGGAATCGAATACTGCGTAGAGACAGTATCATTGGATATATTACACTGAATAATAGTTGCTTGACATCTCGCGATAGCATTATCCAAGAATCATCAATACCTAATTGAAAATATTGATCACTTGCTTCTCCAGTTTTTACTATTTGCATGCAGCCATATAGCTTATATTTCTTGTTCTATTTCTTCAAGTTTTATTATGATTTCCTATCATAGCTATGCACGGGGATAATTCTATTGTATGTTCGACACTTAATACATAATGTCCTTCAAATCAATTTTAAACTTATTTATCGTGTAAAATCTAGTTGATTTTTGCAGCTTGCTTCAGATAGATGCACTATTGCATCGTGTCAGAGAGAGAGATCATAAGCATATGGAATTGCAAGAAATATTTGAAAGATGATTTTTAATAATTGTGTTCCTTGTTTTACATTTCTTAGTGTTCATTCAAACAGATCAAAGTGGATAACTTATTTGATACTAACGCTGCATCAGATTTGCAAAGTTGAGTAGAAAGGTATATTTCAATCGATCGTTTCTCGTTAGACAGAGCAAAAATTTAAGAAAAAACAGAAAGAGTGAGAGTGATTGAAATGGTTTCTTCATTTTTTTTTTCATGGGCAAAATCCGACCGGAAGAACTAAATGTTAAGGCTGAGGATTGCATGTTTATTGTCCAAGATGATTATCAATTAAAACTTGATAATACAAATAGTTTGAAAGAATCTAATCATGCACTAACATTATCCAAATTCATTGATAGCAAAACACTTCAAGCTTGTTTGTTAAATGATGAAAAACTAACAATTGAAGCAGCTGTTCTAATAGATCGTATTTACAATAATTCAGGAATCTCAGTTGTAATACCATCCAGTAACTATCGTCAATCGTCTCCGGATTGTATGGTCGATACGATATTTACTAATAAACATCAATTATCAGATCTCGGTTAGTGTCCATTGGTAAAATTTCCTTAATAAAAATGTTTTTCTAGAGATATGATCTCTCGTGTCGTAGAACTCACGTTTACTGCATTCTGATCAAACGACCTATTACTATTACTTTGTCAATAAATCTTTGGATACTCTTGTTATCTAAGATAAGTAGTGACTTGTCTTGTTGAGCATACAATTATAGTAAGAACGAAGCTTGATATATTTCTGTTTACTGATATTGAATTGACTGAGCAGTGCTTTATTTGTCTAGGCAAACAATGGTGTAATATATTCATTGAATGATACAAACAAGAGGTGCGAAAAGGAGCTTTTATCAGTTTTTAATGTGTGAAAAGCCGGTTTATACCGCCTTCGATTGATTTCCTCAACCGATCCAGTTCTGTTCATGTGTTACCGTTAATAGCGTGAAACGTAAAAGTAGATTATCAGAAGACGTTGTCATCTGTACATTCATATAAGCAATGAAAGATTAAGAAACATTTGCTTATTGAGTATATCATTTAGTCCAAGCTGTAGTTTTCCTATCATCGAATAATTTTCATCTTCTGCTCATCAATAAGATAAACTAACCTATACAGTATTTTCTATGTTATGAATATCAATTTACTTACCGTTTATATCATAAAAATAGCATGTTGACCAAGAAAGTGTTGACATCAATGTGGCAGTAACAAAGATAATCTTCGATTAGCATTGTCAACAAGAATTCTGTCTGTATATGTGTAACTTCTTTTTTTTTCAGTTTGAGAAAATGTACATATTTATCTTTCTATTGCCATCATCATGATACCGTCAGCTTTGGTTGCTTCGACGCTATTACTCTTGATTATCATCATTGCTCCGATTCGATCAATATTAGTGAATCGTACTTATGTCATTATTAAAAATCGTATCATGAATGACAATCGATTGAGTGAATTTTCTATTTTTGATTCTACTGGTAAACAGCGTCAATATTTTGTTAAAACATTTTATACCGATATTCAATCTGTCGTGCTTCTTTCTTATCCATCGAAAAAAGTCGTTGCTAATCTTGAAGGTGAATGGACCGATGATATCATTAATGTTACATTTTCTATTCTCGACTCTCATTCTAATCAGTGGATTGATGGAACTATCACAAAAAACTATCACTTCATCCTCGAAAAATATACAATCCAATGGAATGGTAGTCGAATAATAATGAAAAACAACATTTTCTCTAGCAAATGTGAACTGCGCGATCAGAATCAAAGCCACAGATTAGCTATATTTTGGGAACGTTCGTATTGGTTCAAACAATCACCTAAAACATACATTCTTCAAGTGCTTTCTGACAAAGTATCTGATATAGTATATTTCTTTGCGGTCATGGTCATGGACCATAGACGCATGCGTGTTATGGAGAGCAGTGAGGAATAACATGCAATAAAATAAAATTGCGATAAAAATGTATCTGATTGTGAATGAAATCAAATGCTTTTTTATCAGTAGCCAACAATTCACTCAAATAAATGTTTCTATTGTGCTATTTTTCAAATTTGACATGTTTCGAGACTAAAGAGAGAAATTTTTTCCCATCTCCCATTGCTACTGCTGTTCTAAATGTATTTTATCTTCGGACGATGATAACACAACAATAGGTCAGATTCGGTGTGCAAATCGATCTCTTTACTACTGATATTCTTGTATCGGTCTCTTCGAATTACATATTACTCGATAAACGAAGCAGAAACCCAGCATGGATGTGAGTTTTGAGTATGGAGTGTGAGGGTGTGGCTGAAGTGAAGACGGCTGTTCCTACACGCACACTCCAATTAAAAATTGATTCCAAATTCAACAAAATAAAATGAAGTTTATTTACAATGTGAAAATGAAATAAATAACTATCAAAATTTGTTGTATCGAGAATATAAATTTATCACGTTCAATATTACAATAAACCAATAGAAAACAAATACATTTAGATTTTAAAACACAGCACACATGAATGTGATTTAGATATTGTTAAAAAGAAACAATTAGAAAATAAAGTTTTATTTGATTTTTCATTATTAAAAACAATAATTCTTTTGGTTTGTTCTCTAGTTGGTACAATTTGACGAATATAAACGAAAATTAACATACGAAATCGAATGAATACCTAAGGAATTATTTTCAATGAAAGAATCATATACAACAGATTTAATTATTGCTGAAGATCAAGAAAACTCTTAAAAAAATCAAATAGTACATATGAAGAATTCAAACCGTACACAAAAAGGACTTATTCAATAATTTAATACTAGTGGTGAAAAAAATCAAAACAAGCACTATTTACAAAATTAAGAACATTAAAATATGAATATACAAATATTAAAGCATTTAATACAAATTTAAATAGACAATTAAAATATATACATAATTGACGGGCAATTCAATTTTTCAAATTCTATAAACCCAGACATTTGTACATTCATTTCATATAGATTAGACTTAGTAAAATCGTTTATACGTTAATTCATTTTAGCGAATTAAGCGAAACAAAAGTCACTGCTAACTGAAAACATTTGAGAGATACGTTAATTTTGGAAGCATCGACTAATACCTATTCTTACTCAGCTGAGGATATATGAGTTGATGGTTGGTATAAAGAAGAATGAAGAGAAAACGCCCATCCACCCTTTAATATATATTACCAATTGTTTCGCAAGAAGAACTTATCATTTTTCAAAATTTTTAATTTCAGTTTTTATTTCAAATCAGAATATATTGTGCTCAGCTATAAATTGAACTTGAATTTAATATTTCGATTGTTGCTTCGTCATGACAGGTGGACAACAATTCTGATCTAGATGAAAAGGAATAATGGAAATATACGAGATGATGCATTACTTCACTGCATTAAGTCTTTTTTGTGCGACCTTGAAGAAACAAGAGTAAGCAGGTTCGATAAGAAAAAAAAAGCCAATAACAAAATGAAACACAGGTAGTAGAGAACAAGAAAAAAGTGAGCGAAAAGCAAATATAAATGATGAATCCGTCGTTTCTTTTTTTTTCTCTCGTATGTGGGGTGCCTGCAGCGTCGTATCATGGTCACATGTTGTTTTTACAACATAGCTGCGCCAGTCGTTGACATTATGGATGGCAAGGGAAAGAAATTGCGCTGCTATGAATCTTTCAGACCAATAAAAGTCTTCAACATTTTTTCCGTTTTTTTTATTACAATATGTAGGATTGCGAATTGGCAGGTAATCTCTCAGAGATCATCGAGATCCTTTCTCTGCAAAATACTAAGTTAAGGTGTACAAATATGCTCTTTACAAAAACATGCACAAATACGGCTACATTGATTTTAAAGAAGCATGTGTATTTCTACCATATTTAGCTATCTATGCTGTTATGATACACTACGCCTAAGTTTGTCATGAAATCGCAATGTTTATTGTAAGTCAGTAGATCGTAAATATTTTTCATAAACATCCACAAGTTGTCAAAAAAGAATAAGATGTTTCTTTTCGTCATGGTAAGTTAAAATACAATCTTGACTATGAAAATTCATACCTTTACAGGCAATGTTAAGCAAGCTGTTGATTTATTGGCAATTTATTTACATTTACGGCTGCTTTTTTTCTCAACATTGCTTAATCCATTTTACCGATCTGGCTTGTATTTTTACAATAGGCAGATATACTTCACATGGGAAGAAACTAAAGTGTTATACATAGTGCAATATTTTTTTTTAGTAAGTTTTCATTTTCTAAAGAATGATACGAGTTACAACAGAATGTTTTTTACCGTAGATACTGTCGATCATCGGCTGTCTTATTACCTAATCTTTTGTGTCATTTCGAGAAAGCATGGCTATTTGGATAGCGCAAGTTTATCAAATTAGCGTGATTCACCATCATGAGAGTGATGTCATCCGAAAGAGCACATCAGAATGCATTAATTCGTCATTTGCATACAAATATTTAATTTATTCGATGAAAATGTAGTTCTATGATGAAAAAATTCTAAATTCAAAATTTCAATTCGTTTTTTGCACATATACATGAAAAATGGCAAAATATTTACTTTATTGAATCTTAATGACAGCTATTCAATTTGTCAGATTGTTTCACAAGTTCATATTTTCAGTAAAGGAACAGCCAAAAGATCTCATTTACCATCAGTAACTATTCTAATTGAAATTTTTAATGTGAAAAGTTTCAAGTTGAAATTTAAAATTCAATTTTTTTCTGCTTTTGAGAAGGAGCACCGCAATCTCTCCAAAACAATTCATAGAAAATCGATATATCGATCGAAACTAAAGTAAACCTTTTCCACTTTTCATGTTCAAAGAAAGTATTGAAATTTTCAATTTAGAACTTTTTTAGCATAAACTTCCATTTAAATTGCATAAATTAAACATTTGGGTACAAATGCTTAATTGATACATTCGAATATGCTCTTTCAAATGACTTTACTCTCGTGGTGATGGATCGCGCTCATTTGACCAGCTTGCTTTATTTGCCTGGGCAGGCTTTCTGAAGATGGCTTGTAAAAGATAAGATGATAAGAAATTTTCATGGTCGTGAAAAGATATTCTATGCTCGATAACAGTATCTACCGTAAAAGAAATTCTCTGTTATAACTCGTGTTGTCCTTTAGATAATGAAAACTTACTAAAAAGTATTGCACTAGAAGGCACTAAATGTAGCACAGTAGCTATACTTGCAACGTCTATATCTCTAGAATGACTCATTCATTGGAGTCGAACATTTTGGTTTCTTCCCATGTAGGTTATATCTATCTACTGTGCAAATATCAGTCCAATTAATAATATCGACTGAGGAAGGATCTACAGAAACTGGTCTGGTTTTATACAAAGAAAAGTTCCGAAACTGAATTAGCTGCTTTAATGTTTTAATAGTTATCGATTTATATTTTACAGATTTTCTTTTTTATATATTCACACTACTGAAGACTTTTCAAGCAAATGGTTTTCCATCGAAATCTATCTGAACGCTTGCTGGTGATTTATCATGATTATCGCAGAAATGATCGTTTGAACGGTTCGCATCACTGTTGTGCTGAAGTAAATAGCAAAACAACGATTTCAATATTCTGAATCGGGGATCGTTATGGCTCCTTACTCTAAGCAACCCAAGCCTGAGATAAGATCCCTTTTTTGTTTGCTTTTTTGTCCGATCCTCACCTAAGACTTGATCTTAGTCTCAGACATGTCCTTCAAATGTTTTTTTATGTCCAATCCTTACACTCAGCGTTTTTCCAAAGCTCTCTATTGATAATCGTGTTCCGCTTTCATTTTTTTACTCTTGATGAAGAGTGCTACCCAACTGTATTCTACCTGAGCTACCTCCATAACGATCCCTGTTTTGAATATTATTACGTGATTTTGCTCATCGACCACTTCGTCATCCATACAATAGTCAAACTCAATCGGCGGTCAAAATTGGAAATCACAATCATGTGTTTTTATTGTTCAACTGAATAATATGCAATCTCATTTGAAATCGCTTGGCACGCGCGTTCATGATCCCAATAATCTGACCGTATTCTGATTCATATCTAATCATTGGACATAACAAATGTGTACCTTCAATGAAAATCATCAGTCAAGACGCCATGAGCGTTCCATAGCTCAGTGTTCTACTCAAGATTTAAGACTTAGATGATTTAGAAAGTTCCACAGTTGACAGAAGTTCAAGTTTCCTCATATTTCTCAGCTTTTTTTTTCGAAAACTCCGACAGAGCTTATAAAGTCCCAAAAAGCATATACTACCAGCGCGATTTTATATTCCTCTGACTATAATCTTTCATTAGTTCCCATGTGTATCTGAACACCTAAGAATAATACTTTACCCAATAGAAGCAATAGTACCACTTTTTCGAAGAGATCTGTCTCCAGCAAGTCCAGCCCCTGACTACCTCTTGTGACTCATGTCCAACAACAAACCCATTCCCATACATACTAGTTCAATATGAACATGAAAGTCTTCTCCGATTACAAAAAGAATTTTACTTGCCCATTATTAAAAACTTTTTCAAAATTTTACTCTTGTACTTCAAGCCCGAGTCAATAAAATGTCATGCCTCAATCCCCTCAACCAAACAGATACTCCCAGAAACTTCAGCTTAATTAATTCTTCAAAAAAGTTGCGATCATTCGATACAATGTTACTTCTCTATAGGTCGACATCTGAGACTCCGGAGGTGAGCATTTCTGACACACCAATTCTTTCAAAAAGATCAAGCCAATCTGCTAGTAAATATGTCAGAGATTTCGTGATTTATTTGGTTGACTACTTATATTTATTAGACACATCGAGCGAACAGAGTCCAGATCCAGTAACACGTGTAACAGAGCACGTGAAACTCGTTAAGGTAAAATCAACGTTGTGATTGAAATATTTGCAAATATTTCGATGAATGCTGTTTCTTAGTATCAAACTCCAAGCAAACGAATCGTTGTAGAATCTTCCTCCATTTGTTGCAACGATCTTCTTGGTCTCACCCTTGAATATGTCGATGGGAATTTTATCGAGGGAGGTAGGTATAAAGTTTTATCTTTTCTCAAGTTATTAACAAAGAAATCTCATAAATTGTTATTGCCTGAAAGTTTAACAATTGGCAGAACAAATATTTGCATAGAATGACAAGTTTGATAACGTCCATTTTTCTGGACATTCAGTGGTCGAATCTTGTGATATTAAGAAGGAGAACAGTAAAATAAGCTAACATCTACTTTTTTTTTCTAGGTGCATTCCTGCGAAAGAAGACTTTCCAACGAAATATCAATGTTGTCATCGTTTCTTTCAATATAAAGTTGACATCGAATGAATTGGATAAATATACAAATGTCGAAATCGAATCGTTCACTGATGAATGTGTTGGTATTGCGAACATATTAGCAATTAAAGATAAATTAATTTATGTTGTCGCACCAAGCACACTGGGTGACTTCGTTGTACCATTGATACACAATCATAGATGTGTTGAAAACATTTACATATATCAAGATTCTACTGATGAAGAATCGATTGATTGGATTCAAGACTATTCAAAAATCCGTGATAATCGATCTTCCATTGATCTATTAACACAGAAAATCATAGAAGATATCGATTCTATCATGAAACGTCCTTCACATTGGTCTAGATCCAAAGCATTGTTGGCCCAAATATGTTCGCAGACGAATCAAAATGATACATTAGCTCCCGTGGAACATACGTTCAACGATGATTTAAGTACCATTTGCATTTCCATATTATTTCTCGGTTCACGTCAACCATTTCATCTGTCGCATAGTAACATTAAAATAAATGAGTTCTATGATATTGAACAATGTATTCAATGGATTCAAAATAACAGTTCATTTCATATTTATCTGATTATTTCAATGAGCAATTTCCAGGATATTCGATATGTAGTTGAGCTCAATCCTGTTCATGCAGTCTATATTGTGATGGATCTCGAATCGAATGAACTAATCGAGATGCTATCAACTTATTCAAAATTGAGTGGCATATTTGTTCTCAATGAAGATCTGCTCGATCAAATCATCACAGACATTTGTTTCTATCGTCAAATTCGATTTCGTTTACCAGATATGAATATTTTCAAACTTGAGTCGAATATTCTCGGCAAACTTAACGAACGTCAGGTGGACTTTTTGTGCTTTCAACTATTTAGTGGCATTCTATCGGAGTTACCAAATCAATCTACTACAACTGGTGATAGTAATACCGAGCATGAGGGTCATCTTCTTATTCATCTAATTGAAGCAAACACAAAGATCAATTATCTTTTCAAAGACTTCAACACTTCTACATTACAAAATTCGGTAACAACGTTGAAAGAACTCAATCAACGAATATTATCCTTGGCAAAAACCATCAATTCATCTTCTGATACCGTCTATCGAGCTCAAATAGTATCAAAAACAGATTTAAAAATGTTACAAAATAATTCAAATAACCTACTCGCTATACAGACATTCGTTTTAGCTTCACGTTCGTTTCAATCTGTAGTAGACATTTGTCGTCGAGCAGTCGATAATCAACTTACTGTAGTTCTCTTCGAACTAAAATTGTCCAATAAAATCTCGGTGGCACAGTTGAATTCAGATACATTGGTCTTCAGTCTTGGTACTCTCTTTCGATTAGTTTCGACTGACCCAGAACTCAACGGTGTTTGGCGTGCACAATTGGAGCCTGTCGATGGTGCAATGCAGCGTATTATAAATCAACTTCGAATTGAGATTGGTGGTCATCTTACATGGTTAACATTCGGCAACTATTTGACTGCTTTGAAACGATACGATGCAGCTAAGAACTATTACGAATATCTTTTGCTTGTACTTCCATCTGATCATCCAAGTCTTGCTTTTATTTACGACAATATGGGTTTGATGTATTCGGAAATGTCCGATAATGAAATGGCATTAACATTATTTAAAAAAGCATCCGAATTGAATGTTGCCAATCTACCAATGCCAGCTGAACAGATAAAATTATCGACTATGGATCTGTCGTGTCCTGAATCTTCTTCTATTGACCAAATGACAATATTCAACAAAATAGCAGAAATCAAGTATCGTGAAGGAAATTACCAAGCAGCAATTGACTATTATCGTGAAGCACTCCATGTTGCAACAGATTCGGCATCACTGCAATTTTATCAAAATAAAATTGAAAAACTTTTATCTATTAAAGATACTGTTGATTCTGACAATTAGCAGTCTCTGATGATTACAATTTTTGTTCTTTTTTTGTTCGCATTCATTTTTTCTATTTTTTTGTAGATGTAATCATCCAGTAGATTATCTCATCGCTTTATTTCAGATAGGTTCAATCATATTCAAGACTTTTTGCAGCACAAAGTTTCATCTAGAGAGATAGTTTATTTTGCAGCATCAATGGGGCTTATCAAACATTCGTCAGCCACACGAAATTTAATGATCATCTTGTATCATCAGAAGAATGTTGCACCTGATGTTCTGCGTCAAATGAAGATATATCTTCGCAAAAACTTTAATTATTCATGTGTCTTCAATAATAAAGAAGATTTGATTACGTATCTTGCAAGTGATCTTGTTATTAAACAAATAGTATTTATCATTAGTAATGATGATGAAAAGGAAACTTTGGCAGTAGAACGTCTAGTCAAACGACGTGGTCAATTTCGAGGACTATATCGATTAGAACTTGGAAAATATAATTTATCTGCATGTTCAAATATTAAAGAAGTACGTTTCATAATTGAGAAAATGGTTAATGAAATTATTAATGACCTTCAAAAAACTCAGCAACCAGTTGAGAGTTCTGAACATATGAACGACAATAAAGAAACTGTTCTAGACGAGTCAACTCCCATATTTGATACTTTCAAATCGGTTTCTGCTCAGACGACATTTTGTAATTTGAGCAACGAATCACTCAAGTTTCTTCTTTTTCAAGCCCTAATTGAATTAATGGTACGCATCGAATATAATGAGGAAGATTTTAAACTGATGTGGAATCTTTGCCATCAAGAATACATGAAGGATGAGGTCAAGGCGAAAAAAATTAGAACTTTTGCTGAAGAATACAAACCAGAGGAAGCAATAAAGTATTATACTCAAGACTCCTGTTTCTTTCGACTCGTCAATCAAGCTTTTCGACTCGAAGACTTTGACAGTATCTTTCGCTTTGGTTGCTACATAGCCGATCTACATAACCAAATTGAAAAGCTTGGTAGAGAACAAAGACAAAATGGAAGTAAAAATGGCAAAACATATTATCGAGGTAAACGATATTCAATCGATGTCATACAACAATTCAAGGATAGCATCGGACATTTGATTGCTTTAAATGGACTTCTTTCGACAACCGAAAATTATATGACTTCTACAGTATTTGCTGGCATGGGAGAAACGCAAGATCATTATCAAAGTGTGACATTTGAATTTAATATTGATTCTAATACGACAGGCTTAATCAGACCATATGCAAATATTAATGGGAGCAGTGCGTGCCAAGATGAAGAAGAAGTTCTGTTTTTCATGGGTTTCGTTTGGAAAATCGAATCAATGAAAAAAATTGGTAATAATGATTGGTATATTGTACTTCAATCATGTACAGACTATAACCCTGAACTGATCACATATATTGAACAAGCAAGATGTCGCTGCACATATATGACCGTTGGCAACATCTTACAAGAGCTGGGCGATCATGTCAGTGCAACAAACTTTTATCAACGTATGCTTTTGGATGAAACCCTTTCAGATAAAACTCGTGTTAGTGTCTATTGCAATATGGCTGCACTGGCTGAGGATCAGGGCAGATATTTTGATGCAGTTAACTATCTTATCCAAGCACAAAACTTCATCAACTCGACAGCATTAGAAAATAGCGAAGTACCAGCTCAACCAAAACCTCTTTTTGCGCATAATATTGCTCCCTCTCAACTAAATCTCTTCAACAACATGGCTCGAGCATATATGAAAGCTGGAAAGTATAAGTCTGCTAGAAAATATTTTGAAGATGCCCTTCAACAAAAAGGCTCAAATATCGAACGCGCCACCGTATTCAACAATTATGGCCTGCTTGAATATACGTGTCGAAATATTGAACAAGCCGAGAAGTATTTCCAGCAAGCAGTTGAATTAGCTAAAAACGACGCATGCTGTTCAGAATTCAAGCACAATCTTCAGTTAATCGGTAACCACGTTCTTAAGGAAACAAAAATGGTTGGTGCAGAACCGAAACCTGCACAGTAGTGTGAAAAAGGTTTTTTGAATTCCTTGTTATGACTTTAGATGTTGAATAGGGTGGGGGTGTGGGTGTGGGTGTGGGTGTGGGCATGTGGGTGTGGGCGTTGGTGTGTCGGCTGGTGGGTGTGGGCGTTGGTGTGTTGGCGGGTGGGTGTGGAGGTTACCGAAGAGAAGATTCAAACCCAAATCCACACCTCACACCCACCTACACTCACACCCACATCCCCCCACACCCACACCCCACCCACACCCACACCAACACACCCACACCCATCCACATCCACACCCACACCCAGACCCAGTCTTCGTTACCTTCCAGTAAAGTAGTAAAGAGCAGTGTTTGGAGCAATGATGGAGGCGGTAATGGTGGTGGTGACGGTTGTGGTGATGGTGGTTGTGGTGGTGACGGTTGTGGCGATGGTGATGGTGGTTGCGGTGGTGACGATGGGTGTGGAGGTTGTGGAGGCGATTGATACACAGGGTGTGGGTGTGTATGTGGGGGTGCATTTTCTCCTTTGTTTTCACCCACACCCACACCCACACCCACACCCTGTGTATCAATCGCCTCCACAACCTCCACACCCACCGTCACCACCGCAACCACCATCACCATCACCACAACCGTCATCACCACCATTACCGCCTTCATCATTGCTCCAAACACTACTCTTTACTACTTTACTGACAGGTAACGAAGACTGAATAACTAATCTTGTTCGTGATACAAGTGCACAATTACTAGTATATTGTGATGTACTCAATTGATTTTTGTCAATATTTGTACCATATTCCGTCTTATAAATTTCTTTCCATCGATCAGCTGTTCTTTTATATGCATTGCCTAAGGTATCCTTATCGATATCATCATTATGATCAAGACGAAATCCACATAGGGCTTCTGTGGCTACTAAGTAAGAGTGATTTGCTCTCATAGGTGTATGCCAAATCAAATCGATTTCGAATGTTGGCACAATCAATGATTCTTTGCCAGCTAATTTCAAAAATGAAACATAATTTTGTACCATCTTTTCGAACGTATCATAACTTAAATAATTCAAGTCCATATAAGAGAAAGGATTCTTCTTGAATTTGTCAAGAAAATCTGCTTGACGAACTACAGCCCTTGTTAAGTCGATGGAAGGGACAAATTTTTGTTTTTTTGTCGAATTACATGGTAGAAGCGAAGAACATTGTCGTTTTATGTTAACCAAACTATATTTCCTGTTCATGTATAGTCTATGAAATGAGCCATTATATTCGTCTTTTTTATAAGCAATCGGATGTAGACAATGAACATGCCAAATCCAGCTCAATTTCCATGGTAATTTTGCTCCGTCGAAGCTATCCAATAGATAGTAATTAGCACGGAATGTACAATAATCTTCGATAGCTTGATCCAATTTTTTTCCTCTTTGCGTCATATCTGGATTCTCGATAACTTTGCGAAGCAATTTAATATGGCGAAGAAACTCGGAAGCATACAAAGTGTGATCTTGGCCATCCTTTGTTTGAATATGAACGCAATAAATGGTAGAACAATTGAATACGATGTTCCCATTGTTTGTCAATATTTCAGTTGATACCTTTGTAGTTATTGAATTCAATATAAGTATTGTTTCAAGCAACCACTAGCCGATGATCGCTTCTCGAAAGAAACTAATGTGTATCTTTAAAGGAAATAAAAAAAATATTTGATTAAATATTCTCTCAAAGAGTATAAAAATCAAATTATTTAGTTTTCAAAGATCTTTATCAATGCACATGAATCCTTAGGCAAAATTTTGATTTTTAATTTATGAACATGAAACTCGAGTGTATTAGTACAAATCAAGATTTTTAGTTTGTCGTTTATTTTTATTATTTTAGACGATTAGGTAAATTATTTAATTTTAATCGAGTAAATTCACCAGTAATTATTATCGCTTTCAATTACTATTACGAAATATGAAAACTTTAAAATCGTAGAAAACTATCGACCATAGTATCTTAGTTCAACTCTGAATTCGATTGGCTGCATACTAATTCTTTCTCGATTCGTCTGATACTCTATATATCCTCGCTTATTTTTCAGTTCCGACTGTATGTTTTAGAAAGAATAGTACTTATATTGAGTGAAAGGAAATAGTACGTTGGAAAAAATGATCGTGTTTCGCTATCATGCTTTTTGACAAAAGATTAGCTCAATCTGACATACTGTCTTTCGTAATCTTTGAGCTCTTTTTATGTAACACTCTTGGTAATGAGTGTGAAAGCATATGGAGAAAAAAATAATAAGACTTGTCTTTTCAGCGAACCACACATTGTGAGAAGCATATTGATATATCTGTGGCATTCTAAAACAGTTTATAGGGTTTCAGTGCGCTGGTCTTTGATCTATCAACGAATTGTGATAAATGTAGAAACATTTCTCTATCATGATTAGAATGATTCTATCGTGTTTAACATTTAAATTTAGTAGGAATTATGATGAAAATATTTTTATTTGCAGAACGCTTTTATCATCATGTAGTACTTTTTGTCAAAGTCATCGAATGGTAATGAATTGAAATATCCTTCTTTCAACAAATTTTCGTTGTATCTAGACGAAGAAAACGAAAATGTTAATATAAGTGTTGGAATGTAGATGATACATTGTTTGAACTATTCCTGAATCGCAATCAAAACTTCTTTTTTAGTGACTTTCATTACCTACTTGTCGATTTCCATCTACTAGGTGGGTAAAAATATTAATCCAGGGGGGTAACACAATGATTTCAAATAGAAGACATAATGAATTTTATATCAAATGAAAGCTCGTCAAAAATGGGGTTTATTGATACTAAATAGTGAGGGTTATAAAAACTTTTTAATATCCAACATAAGAAACTTTCAGAAATTTTATACTTTTTTTGGGATGTGAAAGTAAGGTCCCAGTAATTCAAAAATCGAGTAAAATGTTTTTCTTGGATATTTTTACATGATTCGATAGAGCTCGTCGAGATCTACAAAACTATATATATTAAAAAATTTTTAAGTTAGTTTTTTGCGATAAAAAATTCAAAAAACTATTTGGCAAGTCTTAAAAAACGTTAAAAAAACTCATATTTTTGATATTGAANGGTTCTGTGGATTTTTTTATTCTCTCTGTGAACCTTTGAGCACATTTGCAAGCTTTTGGTCATCTACTGAACCTTTTTTTAAGGTTCGGTAAAGTACCTTTTTTTTTTTACAGTGTACGCACTACCATTCCTCGGCAAGCCCTCTCCCATCCTTACGATTGTTAGTGGTACACTTTGTGGAGACCTACGTAACTCTGTAAATAAGTATTCTTAAATAAGAGCAAACCGAAGGTAATACTGAGTTCATCACGAGTACTATAAAGTAAAAAAAACTCTCGATTGTGCTCAGAACCACATAAAATTTAGTAGGTAGTATACAGGACGTGCTACTGTTTAATGAAACTGTGCAAATATTAATAAGAAAATTGCAAAACCTTCAGATAATCTGCGAAACTATCGGTCATTTTGTAGAAAATGTTCCAAATTTTTCTACAGTTTACGGAACTATCAAAGGTTTCGTATAAAAAAAACCTTAAAGGAGATTGGAAAGTGTCGAAAAGTTTGGCAGAAATGATACGAAACCTTTATAAATTGCATGAAACTATCAGACGTTTCGTAGAAAATGTTCCAAACCTTCCTACAGTTTACGAAACTATCAAGGGCTTCGTAGAAAATATTCCAAACCTTAAAGCATATTGGAAGGTGTCGTAAAGTTTCGCGCAATTATTGAAAAACCTTTGTCACCTCTACGAAACTATCAATCGTTTCGTAGAAAATATTCAAAACCGTGCGTCACTTTACGAAACCATCAAGGGCTTCGCATAAAGTATCCCAAACCTTTCTACACTTTACGAATCCATCAGTAGTTTCGTATAAAAGGTACAAAACTTTGAAACCGCCCAGAAGCTGGCTATAAGTTCTGCACAAATAGTACAAAACCTTTTAAACTTCTACGAAACTATGAATCGTTTTGTAGAAAATGTTCAAAACTCTTATATTGGTTACGAAACTATCAATGGTTTCGTCAGCATAATTCGAAACTTTCTTCGACGTTACGAAACTATCAGAGGATTTGTATATGATCTACGAAACCAAAAAGAATTTTACGGAACCTATAGGGAGTTCCGCAGCTGAATTACGAAACTTTTTGATATCTGCTGAACTTAAAATAGTTCTGAAAGCAAACCACGAAACGTCTTTCGCTCCACGGAACTTAAAATCGTTCGGTGCAGAAATGCGGAACTTTTAAGGTTCGGTAGAGTACCGATTTTTTTTAGAGTGTAGGAGAGGCATGTTGTATCTGTGTATCGAGTGTGATGTGGGGTCATGTCTAATAGATTGTTTTAAAGACTATCATACTCTAGAAGCATTCTGAATCGTGTATTTAATGATATTTTTGAAAAAATAAACATTGATTTGAAATTTTAATAAATCTTAGTGCTTAAAAATAATCCCGGACTCAAAGGTTTAAACACCCACAACAAGCTACTAAAACTTTTTTTGTACTGGACATCCAGAAAGGGGCAGGGGTCCCTGAAACTGGACAAACCTGAACATGGGGAAGGAGGGGTCCAAAAATGCGATTTTTGCCTGGACGCCCTTCATGGATGACCCAAAATATGAGTAGGAGCTTCTTTCAAGTATGGTAGTCCAATTATAGACCAGACTTAATATCACTAATTTTAAGCTAGAAGTTCAAGTAAACCCGTATTTTGTTAGCGGACGCTCTAGTAAACAATATTGTCTGCAGATGTGTCAGCAAGCAAACTGATTTTTAGTAGAAATTTTAAGAAGTATGGCGCATTTTCACGAATGTGTCGCGAATGAGTTATGGTTCATTACCTCTCAGAAAGATGAATATAAGCTCCTTTTTTAGGTACATATGAATATCGCCGCCATAGGGTTGTTCCTTAGATTTTTGTTGAGTGTCAATGTAAGGGTATCAATTTGATAAGATGTATTTGTGACAAAAATATTCATCCGGACCCGCATACAAGTGTGCACAATGAGATTGACGCTAATATCAGCGTACACACATCTATCCACCATTTTGGAACATTGGATACTAGCTGTGTTGAAGACTGTAAATCGGAAGAAAAAATGGAAAGAGCCGAATATACAGTCGAGGGTCAAGCGAGTCACACGGACGAGCGTTACTTGTATTAAGAGAATCAAAACTTATTAGACACTCTTCATGTATGATGTTTCATAAGTTTCAAGCCTATTATGATTTGTTTTAATATTTTTTAAGATCAAAAAATAATTTCAATCCATCTTTGCAACAATCTAATAAATGTATGTATGGTAATAACATGAAGGGAAAATTCATACCGTAACAAATCCCATAAATTATGAAGGATAAAGTAAGACTCGCAAAACAAAGTTAAAGAGAGAAGATCAGACGGAAAGAGAAATATCTGTCACATATACAGATACGACAAAAAAGGAAAATCAGTATGTTGAATGACTGACAACAAGAGAAAACAAGGAGAACTTGAATATATGTATTCAATTATTTATTTAGTAAGGAGACTCTAATGACCTCATGTGAAAAAAATGCAGACCATAACATAAGTTATCAGTAAAAGTGTTAAAATAATATTATTAAATTGAATTTTCACCTTTTTCTATTATACTCAGTGGAGGATGTTCAAAAAGCAAAGGAGGAGAATGCGTTCGCCAAGGGGTGTGAGTACGTAAATCAATAAAGAGCAGACTGACCTATCTCTTGATGAAGAAGACAAAGTCAATCTATTTTTCTCAACTCTTGCTTTTCAGCAGTTGACTCAGTCGAAAAAATCTTAAAGTATTGATAATGTGCTTTAAGCCCCCCTCCCCTCCCCCTCAAAAATCGATCTTAGCCCAGGAACGTTCAAATTATATGAAACTTACAGGATATATTGGGTTTGGTATGGAGAGGTTATGGTTACATTATCAGCACTCTATCCTGATGTTTGGATGAGATAAGGACCTGACAAGGGTAAAAA